GCCTAAAGCCACCGGCAATGTCCCGCACATCGGCTTCGCGACGGAACCCCCGCCCTACGCACCCCCTGACCCCAAGGCGGCGCCCGCGCTCTTCTCTCCCTTCCCACCCCCGGTGCTGCTGCCGCCCACACCTACTGCGCTCTTCCCTCCTGGCCCACTCTTCCCGCCAGCTGTGCCCGGCGCCTACACCTTCCCTGCGGTAAGCGGCTCGGGTTCTGAGGGATGAATAGGAGTTCGGAAAGGAGAAGGAGGGGCGCTCCAAAGAGAGGGCATAGGGCATCCGACCCTGGGGGTGGTACGGATTTGGCTATGTGGGAGGAAGAAGGCAGGACCCATGGTGAGGGCTCAGAGACCTTGGGCTGGAGGTGATGGTTGATCGGGTGCGCCTGTGGTCTCAGACCTCGAAGAGGCTCAGGCAGGAGGATCCCAAGTTGGAACCCAGCTTGGGCAATGGAACAATTCAGCCTGGCAGGAAGGAATGAAAGGAGGGGTATAGAAAGAAGGGAAGAACAGAAAGACAGACAGACTGGTGGAGGTCGCAGGCCCCTGCGGGGCAGGGCTGAGGGTCCTCCTGTGCACAGCACTGCAGCCCCGTGGCGCCCCCCGTGGAGCACAGGCTGCCGCCCAAGGACTACATGACTGAGTCCCTGCTGGTGACGCTCTTCTGCTGCCTGCTCACCGGTCTCATCGCTGTGGTCTACTCCCACGAGGTAGGCGGGTTCCCATGCAGAGGGGGCCCTGGGGCAGCGTCTGCGCCCATCCGCCCCTCGCCTGTCCAGCACCTCAGCCGTGCGCCACCTGCTCACCGCCCTGGCAGCATCCGTGCGCCCGTCATCCATCCCACCAGCGACCCGCCCGCCCGTCCACCCATCCGTCCATCGGTCCGTCCGTCCGTCCGCCGACCTGCTGACCCTCAGCCATCCCCCCACCTACTTACCCACGCTCCCCACCTCTGTCCACCCACCGCACGGTCCGTCCGTCCGTCCGCCGACCTGCTGACCCTCAGCCATCCCCCCACCTACTTACCCACGCTCCCCACCTCTGTCCACCCACCGCCCACTCACTTACCCACCACCCACCACCACCTGCCCGCCTGCCCTAACCCATCACGCACCACTTCCTCGTCCGGCCATCGCTGTATCATCCACACCGCTGTCCTTCCCCATGTCTCATCTCCACTCCTCCCTGCAGCCACCATCCCTC